TCCGTCTAGCGAGTGAACTCTGCCGCCGACACGCAGAAGCAGCCGCAGACAGCTGGGGTGGCTGTAGCCGAGTGACGCTTGCAGGCCAGAGCTGACTGGGTCCTGTGTTCACAACCTCTGTGTCTGTGCTTGACCCAACCATTGAACGGAGGCGAGATCACCACCTGCCTGCCCATCTCGCAGAACCGTTCACGATCGCTGGATTCACTACACAGATGAGAGGTTCCTAAGGAACATGTCAGGCTCTGGAACAGGTGGTGGGTGCGTCCTCGTCCTTACTTTTGACTACAGGACTTTTTTTAAATCTTTTTTTAATAATTAGTTATTTAATTTTATTTATTCATGAATTTAATTTTACCAGAGAAAGACACACACACACACACACAGGGGGGGAGAGAGAGACTTGGGTCGGCCATGAGAGAGTCCAGCACCTTAGCCACCACACCACCTGCTGACCCCCTGGAACTTTTTTTTTTTTTTTTTTTTTTTTTTTTGTTTTTTTTGAGAGGTTTTTGCTATAGGGCATGTGCGCTCGCCAGAAAGACAGAAAGTGAGAAATTACCCCTTGGGGGTATGTCCTTGCCACAATCCCTTCTCCGTTCTCTCAGGATCTTGGGCATACACTCACACTCAACCAGTGAGTGCTTAAGCCAGCGGGTCTGGGACTCGAACTGCAGTTGACTACATGGGAGTCCAGTGACTTAGCCATTATACCAATTGCTGGTTCCTGGCCCTTGGAACTTTTAAAAATTATTTTTATATTTTATTCACCTAGGGAAATGTGTGCTCAATATGGGGAGAGAGACCTAAAAGGAAAGTGAGAAACCACCTCTCCCCATGGGGATGGTCACCCTGCACTCCTTTATCCTCTATCTGTTCTCCTGTCAGGATTTTGGACACACACACACACACACACACACACACACACACACACAGCCAGCATGCTAGGCCCTGGACTTGAACCATGCAGTCGGCCATGTGGAATCTTAACCACTAGGCTACAGGGCCAGCCCAGAGCTTGACACATTGAAAGATTTGCCTCTCAGGATGTTACCTGTCGGGTGAGGGCTGGTTTCTGGGCAGTTGAGCGGAGCCTGATTAGTCTGTCCTCTTGCACTCAATCCTTCGTGCCATCTTCTTAAAGCTCACATTTGGTCCTGCTGAGGTGCCACGGGCAGTAGGACCCAGCCACGTGGTCCTAAAGCCACGTGGGAGGTCTGTGTTCAGGTCCAGGGTCTGCCTGATCATGCCAGGTTAGCCCATGATCCTGGCCGGCCTGGAGGCTGTGAGAAGGGGATCACTGCAGGACCAGGCCCCATCCAAGGGTGGACGTGTGTCATGAAAGACAGCGTTTAAATAAACTTGAATCTATTTCTGGTTGCCTTTGCAGTTGGCTGCTGAACAGTTCAAGAAGACAAGTCTCCATGTGGCCAAGAGTGTCCTGAACAACCGCCACATCGTGAAGATGCTGGAGAAATACCTCAAGGTCTGTGCTGGGCCCGGGCAGGAGAGGCTTGGGGGTGGAGGATGGGTTCTCCGTGTGCGATCGTATTCAGGGTGCAGTGCTTAGTATTTCCGTGGCCTTTCCTTTTCTGGAGGATACCTGTATTCACCAGAGACAGATGAGACAGGAGAGGAAGAAAGCTGCCCCCAATGGCTATGTATGCTTCGATCTTTTCTCCTCCTTTTTTTTTTTTAAAGATTCCTTTTTGTTATAGGGCACGTGTGATCACCAGAGAGACAGAGACAGAGAGAACTCATCCGTTAGACGGTGGCCGTGCCACATTCCCTTCCTCATTCTCTTCTCAGGATTTTGGGCACGCATGCACATGGGCCCGGTGTGAGCTTTAAGTCGCCAGGGCCAGGACTTGAACCACGGTTGACTACATGGGAGTCCAGTGGCATAACCATTATGCCATCTACTGGTTCCCCTTTCTCCCATTGCTCCATCCTGTTGGGATTTTGGTCACATACGCATACGCACCCAGCGTGTTTCTGAACCTACCGTGGCTGGGATTCATACCACAAAGTCAGCTGTGTGGGATCCAGGTTCCTTAAACCATTAGGCCATGGGGCTAGCCAGCCCACTTCCGAGTCTTTTTATAGAATCGGAGGGATTAAGGTGACAGCTGGCGAATTTCTAAGACTTGGGGCTTGCCTGGGAGCTCCGGGCTTGTGCCATCTGAGTGATGGCTATGGAATAGCCACAAGAACCCTGATTGTCTAAGCACGAAATGCTGAGCAAACGATGGAGAAATACTGGGACCAGCAGTTAGTGTAATGGCTATGTCACTGGACTCGCATGTAGTTGACCACAGTTCGAGTCCCAGACCCGGTGGCTTAAACTCACGCCGGGTGCATGTGCGTGCACGCCCAAGATCCCGAGAGGAGAATGGAGAAGGGATTGCAGCGTGGCCATCCCCCCCTGGAGGGTGATTTCTCGCTTTCTGTCTCCCTGTCTCTGTCTTTCTGGTGAGCGCACACGCCCCATAACAAAAACCTCTCAAAAAAAAAAAAGGAAAAGGAAGTATTAAAAAATGTATTTTATTGTTATTTATTTTTTAAATTATTTATTTAATTTCATTTGTTTTTAATTTGACCAGAAAGAGACAAGAGAGAAAGATATGGAAAGGGAGAAAGCAAACTGCCAGGTCTGGGACTTGAACCACAGTTGGCCATGTGGGACTCCAATACCTTTATTCACCACACCACCAGCTGGCTCTTTTATTGCTATTTTTAATTTGCTATAGGACATGTGCACTCACCAGAGAGATTCAGAGACTGAGAGAGAGAAAGCAAAAGTGAGACATCAGGACGCTAGGTCTGGGACTTGAACTTGAATGTCCAGGACTCGAACTGTGATTGGCCATGACGGAGTCCAATGCCTCAACCACCTTACCAGGAAAGTGTTGTTTTTAAGGATCAGCAGGTGGTATGGTAATTAACGTGCTGGACACTATCACATGTCTGATCACAGTTTGAGTCCCCGACCTGGTGGCTTGCTTTCTCACTTTCTCTCTCTCTCTGTTTGTCTCTCGTCAAATTATAAATAATGAATAAAAAGTTAAATAAACAAAGGTAGGCCCAGCCTCAGTGTCTATAGCTGTAATTACAGTGATTTGGGGAGGCTAAGGCCAGGAGGCTTAAGAGTTGGAAGCTGGCCTGGGCAGCATTTGAGACCCTCTCTTTTGTCGACATGAGACCAGCAGATGGTTTGGTGGTTAAGGCACTACACCCTCACATGGGCCAACCACAGTTGAAGTGTTGGACACAGTAGCTTGAAAATCATGCCGGGCGTGCGTGTGTGCATGCTCAAATTCCAGGAGAATGGCGGATAAAGGTTGCAGAATGGCCATTCCCCCACAGGGTGATTTCTCACTTTCCATCTCGCTCATGCTTTCTCCAGTGACAGTATGTGCCCTACGGCAAAAACCTAAAACAAACAAACAAAGTAGAGCCTGCATGGTGGTATTTGACTCTGGTCTGAGCAGAGAGATGGAGACAGGGAGATTGTGACACTGTCTTATAAAAAAAGAAAAAAAAGAAAAAGAAAATTCAGGGGCGGGGCTAGCAGGTGGCGTGGTGGTTAGGGGCACTGGACTCCCACATGGTCGACCATGGTTCGAGTCCCACCTGGTGGCTTGCTTTCTCACTTTCTCTTGCTCTGTCCCTCTCTGGTCAAAATGAAATAAAATAAATGAGTAAATAAATAAAGTTAAATAAAATAATTTTAAAAAGAAAAAGAAATTGAGAGGCCAGCAGGTGGTGTGGTGGTTAAAGTGCTGGATTTCCAGTTGGCTGACTGGTTTGAGTCTGGACCTGGCAGCCTGAAAGTCATCCCGGGTACGTGTGCATGCACGCGCAAAATCCTGGGAGAATAAAAGGGATTGTGGCATAGCCACCCTCCCTGGGGAGGGGTGATTTCTCCAGCGAGTGCACACACCCTATGGCGAAAACCTAAATATAATATAAAAACTTAAAAAGTTGAGAGGGCCAGCAAGTGCCATAGTGGTTAAGGCACTAGATGGTCGGCCACGCGGGAGTCCAGCGCCCTTCACTACCACGCCACCTGCCACCCGTTTGTTGGTTTTTAAGTTTATTTACTTCTTTGAGAAGGAGCACTCCGAATTGGATATTGACACCATAATCCATCCCTAGCGTGCAGTCATCCCGGACAATGGGCACAAGCGTGCCAGGCATACTCAGGGAGGTCCCCAGATGCAAACGTGGTACCCTCCCAGGTGGGGGTCGCCTGGCAGCCCCCCGTGTTCTGCTGCTGCCCGCTTGTCCCTAGACAGCCCTTTAGACCACACTGACCTGGTTTCCCCTTTGGCCAGGGTGAGGACCCTTTCACCAATGAAACCGTGGATCCCGAAATGGAAGGAGATGACAATTTAGGAGCAGAGGATAAAGAGGAGACCCCAGAGGAGGTGGCTGCGGAAGTCTTAGCGGAGGTGATCACCGCAGCCGTGAAGGCTGTGGATGGGGAAGGAGCTCCCGCTGCCGAGGGGAGTGGAGCGCCTGCAGATGCCGAGGGCTCCGTGGACAAGGCGCAGGCCAGCAGCGACCCCCACACCGAGCAGCCGCAAGAAGAGCCGCCCTGTGCGACAGCATCCGAGAAGGGGACCACCGAGGCCGGAAGTGAGCCTGCTGGAGCTGGAGGTGACACAGAGACACTGGCCGCAGAGGCTGTAGGCGCCCCCGAGGTGGCTGCTCCAGCCCCAGCCGCCCAGGTAGAACAAACTGATGCTGAGTCCAAAGATACCCTTCCCACAGAGTGACCGTCATCTCCCTGTTTCAAGGGGCGCGCGGTAGCACACATCACCCGGTGGTCCTGGGTCTGTAAGCATTCTAGGGTGTGCGTTACCAGAACACACTGTAAATGAATTTCCGGAGGCCTGGCCATTCCCTTCCACACCGTGCACCAGGCTCGGCCTGGGCCGTCGCCAGGCTCTGGCCCCGAAAGCTGCGTTCCCCCAGGCAGCCGGGACATCTTTCTTTACACCGAGGTTGGAACAATAAAAGTTGGGTAATTCGATTTGCTTGTTAACCACAGCCACTGGCTGAATGCCTCCTCTTTGTCTTTCTCTAACATTTTTTGGGGGGGTGGGAAGCTAGTCTTGGATTTTATCTTCCTTTATAAAGGATTTTTCTTTCTGTTTTTTGTTTTTTCTTTTTGTTTTTGATTGCCAGAGGACACATGTGCTCACAAGAGAGAAAGCATCTCCCAGTGGTGTGTGGTCATGCTGCAATCCTTTTTCCTCCATTGCTCAGGATTTGGGGCATGTACATACCTGCACCCGGTGTATTTCTCAAGCTGCCAGGATTGCTACTCAAGACTGCGGATGGCCGTGTAGGATCCAACTTTTTTTTTTTTTTTTTTTAAAGAGAGACTTTTGCTGTAGGGTGTGTGTGCTCCCTGGAGGCATAGAGAGAGGGAAAGTGAGAAACCATCCTCCAGGGGTGTGGCTACACCACAATCCCCTTACCTCTCAGGATTTTGAGCAAACAAGCACATGTGCTTAGTGAGTTTCAAGCTACCAGGTCTGGGACTCGAACCTCGGTCGGCCATGTAGGAGTCCAGCACCTCAGCCACGATGCCACCTGCTGGCCCCTGGGGTCCAGCTTTCTATGCACAGTGCTAACTACTGTGCCACGGGGCTAGCACAGGGAGTTTTGTTTAAGTTTCAAGCATTCACTTTTCTTTTTTTTTTCTTTTAAATAATTTTGCTATTGGACGTGTGCATGCATTGGCCAGAGAGAGAAAGTGAAGAAGCATCCCTCGGAGGATAACCACACCACAATCCCTTCTACTCCATTCTCTCCTTCGGGTTTTGAGCATGCACACATATGCGCCTGGCGTGTTTTCCAAGCCCCACTGGGTTTGGGATTTGAACCTCTCTCTGTCAGCCATATGGGAGCCAGCCACCTTAACTACCATGCCTCCTGGCTGGCCCCAAGCATTTGCTTTGGCTTCAGCCTTTCACCCCTCCTCGTGGAGTGCACAGCCTGGGGTGTGTCCCTCAGGAGACATGGCAGTGATGGTGGGTACCTCCCGTCAGTGAACTCTGTCAAGGTCCCATGACTCAGGCAGACCCGCCCCCACCAGAAACTCACCCACTTGTTTGTCGAGAACCAGGAAGCTGTCCAGGGTGTTTTCCAACCTCCAGTCCTCTGCAGATCCCTTTTATAGTATTTGACCTCACTCACGTTCCACTTCTACGGCACTTTTCATGTTTTCGGTTTCTTATTTTTTTAATTGAGTTACTCTCCCTTACATGTGTTTATAAGAGAAGACTTGCTGTCATTGCCATAGGTAGAAACCCAAGATGAATTGCCATCGTTAGACACTATGTTTAGAAAAAATCTATATAATGGAATAAAACACGTTTCACCTGTCAGGTGCATCTTCCTTGGGAGGTGGTGTCTGAATCTGGGCGAAAGGGAGGCTGACCTGCGTTCAAGGGTAGCATGTGACAGTCACCCTTGGGTCGAAGCAGGAGAATCGGAAAGACCTTGTTCCTTTTCGAAACGACACTGCCGTGTATCTGTTGAAACATGACCCAGCGTGACATGACCGGAAACGAGACAGTCGCGTTGGACGAGCATCTCCTGCTTCAAACCAGGTGCCCGTTCATGATAAAACATTCTGAGGTCTGGGCAGAGCTCTCTGGGAGCCTCATGGGTGATGCAAGGTGGGTGTTTATGACAAAGGTGACCTCAGAATTGAAATAAATGTTGGATACCCGAGAACATGGCTCCTCTGAATCTGGGCTGTTATTCCCCAAATGTTTGTGGAGATGTGGCTTCATCGCACCTCAAGCCTGATCTGAGAAGGAGCCGGGTTTATTTTTTTTACTTTATTCATTTACTTATTTAATTTTTTTTGGGGGGGGGGGGTTGCTATAGGGCATGTGCGCTCGCCAGAAAGAGACAGACAAGAGAGAAATCACCCCCCAGGGGGATGACTGCACCGCAATCCCTTCTCCATTCTCCTCTCGGGATCTTGGGCATGCAAGTACACGCGCCCGGCGTGAGTTTAAGCCACCGGGTCCGGGACTTCAACCGCAGTCAGCTACATGACAGTTCAGTGACATAGCCATTACGCTAACTGCTGGTCCCTTATTTATTTTAACTTGACCAGAGAGGGCAGAGTGGGGGAGAGAGGGAAAGGGAGAAAGCAAGCTGCCAGGTCTGGGACTCGAACTGTGTGGTCAGCCATGTGGGAGTCCAGCACCTCCAACCACCATGCCACCTGCCAGCCCCTTCCTTGAGAGATTTTTGCTACAGGATGCATGAGCTCACCAGACAGAAAACCCCCAGAGGGGATGACTACACTGCAGTTCCTTCTCTTCCGTTTTCCCCCTGGGATTTGGGGTAGGTACACACACGTGCCCAATGTGAGTCTGAAGCTTCCAGGTCTAGGACTTGATTCATGGTCGTCCACATGGGAGTCCAGCACCTTGACGTCACCTGCTGGCCCCTGGAACCTGTTTTCTTAGGGCAAAAGTGACATTAAACGTCAGTAGTGTGGGCGAGGAGAACATGACTGGTAGGCCCAGCTGTGGTGGCACAAGCAGAAAGGCCCCACCCTGCGATGGCTGGGATCCCGTGGGAGGCCTCAGTTTAATTCCCAGCCCCAACTGAAAACATGCCAGGCACGTAGTATGTACCTGCGGTCCGAGCTGACGGGGACAGAAAGGATCATGATCCATGTAAGACCCTGTCAAGGGGACAGTAGGTGGCATGGTGGATAAGGTTGCTGGACTCCCATATGGCTGAGTGCAGCCTCAGTCCCGAACCTGACAGCTTGGTTTCTCATTCTCCCTGACCTCCTGCTGCCCCTTCCTGGTCAAATTTAAAGTAAGGGGATAAGGACCAGCCGTTGGCTTAATGGCTATTTTGCTGGGCCCCATGGAGTCGACCGTGGTTCGAGGTGTGTATGTGTGTCCAAGATCCCAAGAGGAAAATGGAGAAGGGATTGCGGCGTGGCCATCCCCATGGTGGGGGGGGCTGATTTCTCTTTCTGTCTCTGTCTCTGGCGAGAGCATGTGCCCTATAGCAAACACCTCTCCAAAAAAAAAAAAAATAATAATAATAAATAAAATCATTCTTTAAGAAAAAGAGCTGTCAAAAATACCCCTCTCCCTCCTGTGCTGTGTGCTTACTAAGAAGGAATACCGTCAGACTTTCTATAAAAAATATTTTTCGTTGGGTGTTTGCTTTCTAGAGAGAAAAAGCACCCCCTGGCGGGATAGCCATGCTACAGTCCCTTCTCTTTAGGGATTTGGGGCATGAATGCATATGTGGCCTTGCATGGTTTTATTTTCTTTATTTTTGAGAGGTTTTTGCTATCGGGCACGTGTGCTCGCCAGAAAGATACAGAAAGCAAGAAATCACCCCCCAGATGGGATGGCCATGTCGCAATCCTTTCTCCTCCATTCTCCTTTCAGGATCTTGGGCACACACGCACACACGCCTGGCGTTGAGTGTAAACCACTGGGTCCAGGACTCAAACCACGGTTGACTACATGGGAGTCCAGCGACATAGCCATTATGCCAACTGCTGGTCCCACATGATATTTCTTTAAGAGAGTTTTTTGCCATAAGGTGTATGTGTTCCTCTACCAGTCCCCCGGTGTAATTTCCAAGCCGCCAGGTCCAGGGCTTGAACTGCAGTCGGCCCTGTGGGAGTCCAGTGCCTTAGGATTTAGTTTTGATTCATGACAGAGTAGGTGGGTGTGGGGGAGAGGGGAGAGAGGGACACACAGTCTCCAGAGAGTCTGGTATCAGGTGCTTGTGCTTTTGCTTGGTGTGGTGCAGGTTGAATGGGCTGGAGACTTGACCCCTGGTTGCCAGGTGGGGATCCGGTCACTCATGGGGTGCATTACCACTGTGCCACACAATGCCTTGTTGATATAATTGTATTTTCAGATCATAACGGGTTTATCTGGAGGTCACCCCATTGTAAGTTGAGGGACATGTATATGATGAAAACGGGATGAGGAATGACACCTTTCCCTGCTGAGCAAATGTAGAAATCTTGGGCACCTAGAGAAGACTCACTTGACCCCCTGCCAATTGATCCCAATACCGTGAAGATCCTGCAAAGCACAGCCTCTCTGTGGCTTGTGGCCAAAATTCTATCAGCAGCACTTATCATGCTTATTAGCCTCTAAGCTCTTATTTATACATTATTTTTTAAAGAATTATTTTATTTAACTTAATTTGACCAGAGAGGGACAAAGACAGAGAGGGAAAGTGAAAAAGCAAGCTGTCAGGTCCGGGATTCTAACCATGGTCGGCCACAAGGGCATCAAGGGCCCTTAAATCACCACACCGCTTGTCAGCCCCCATTGTTATATTTTTAATTCAGAAATTTTCACTATAGGGTGCATGCACTTGCAAGAGACAGTGAGAAACCACCTCCCAGTAGGGATGACCACACTGCAATTCCATCTCCTTTTAGGATTTTGGGTGTACAAGCATACACATGTACCCGGCATTTTTCAATCTGCTGAGTCCAGGACTCGAACCGCGGTCGAAGAAACGAGAGTCTAATGTCTTACCTGCTATGCTACCTTGCTGGCCCCAATCCCTCAACTTTTAAATCACCAACCCTCTTTGTGAGCCTTAGACTAGATGTCTTTTTAAATTTTTTTTAATAATTATTTATTTTATTTATTCATTTATTTTTTAGTTTGAGCAGAGAGAGACAGAGGGTGATAATGAGAGAGAGAGAGGAAATGAGAAAGCAAGCCACCAGATTCAGGACTTGAACCCTAGTCAGTCATGTGGGAGTGTCCAGCGCCTTAACCACCATGCCACCTGCTGGTCCCCTAGACTAGATGTCTTTAACGCTACTCTTTCTCTTCCCTAGTTTTAGAGGTTTGTCCATTTCCACTTCATTGTTCACTTAGACTTTTTTCTTTTTTGAGAGATTTTTGCTATAGGGCGCGTGCACTGTCAGAAAGACAGAAAGAGAAATCACCTCCCGGTTGGCCAGCTACACCACCATCCCTTCTCCATTCTCTCTGGATCTTGGGCACGCACGCACATGTGCCTGGCATGAGTTTAAGTCACTTGGTCTGGGACTTGAACCGTGGCTGACTACATGGGAGTCCAGTGATGTAGCCGTTATGCCAACTGCTGGTCCCAATTCACTTTTTTTTTTTTTTTTTAATTTGATCAGAG